GGGTTGAGATGCAAATTGCAGCGTGTATCCTCTGCTGATAAGGCAGTTCCATCTATCTAGAGCGCACACTCACTGCCTTTCCACGTAACGTTCAGGGAGCGGACGCGCGTCTCCGTGGTCGTCATGTTTTTTACGGACGTCAACCGATTTACAGCCTCTACCGCCGTCATGTGCTGCGAAGGCGTGCTTCGAGCGACCCAAGGTGAGGCTTTCTCGAAAGGGCTCTGAAGGCACCTCTGTGCCGCACTCAGGCTGCGGGCTCACATCCGTGCTGATGTGAGCTGGTGTGCGCTGAAGGGAGGCGCGCGCACCCTTGGCCATGCGGTGCCGCTTTGGCAAAGGCTGCTGCTGCCACGGGGGCGCACGTTTGCCGCCGTTGCGGTCAGAGGAGGTGGCACTTGGCTTAGGTTGAGAGCGAGGTTTCCCACTGGACTCGGTTTGCTGAAAACATTCACTTTTGGCTGTGTCACACGCGCCTTTTGTGTTTTTTTGAGCTGCGGTGATTTTTAAAAACCTGTTTGAAGGACACCGGCTCGTTTTGTATGGAAGATGTGTGAGGAGAAGCCGCTGTGAGATCATCCGAACTGACAGACAGGCTGAAATCAGACACTTTAATTCCTGAGTGATGTTTACGTTTTATTTCAAAACTTGAACCATTATTTTGCACACACACATCCTCCGCAAGGAGTCATTTTTTGAATCTTCTCCCCCGTGAGCCTTGCGGTTGGTTGTTCCAGGGGGGCGCCTGTTGGCGGTCTCTGGGGAAACGCTGTACCGCTGGATGCCGGGATGAGGAGGGCAGTTCTCTGACGGGAGGGGCCAGCGGCAGAGCGGAGCAAGAAGACGCTGCTGCAGCTGTGGCGCGTCTTTGCTGCTGTCTTTGGTCACGTTGCTCTCTCCAGCGGGCCAGCTGGTCCAACCTGGACATCTTTGCTCCGAGAGCCTCTGCCAGACTTGGCTCCAGGGGGGCACCGAGGGAAAACGCCGCTCAGTAAACCCTTCCACTCTGGTGATGGGCGCGAATGTGGAAACCGGCGCTCTCAGTCTACCAGGTCCGGCTGCAGCCTCATTCCAGTAGGACGTCACTGCTGGGAAACGAGGCCAGGTGGGATCAGGACGGTGAGCCGGGGAGGAGCCAAACCTTCCCGCTAGATCATCCTATCTGGGCGGGGGGAGGAGAGGGATGGAAAGTCCCTTCGTGTCAGCCGCCTCCTGAATTATGCCGGGCAGCTCTGAGAGGAGGGCACCGATGGCTGGGAGCAGTGTGGTCGCTGATGCGGAAAGGCCCGGGCGCGGGGAGGGGGGGCGGGGGGAGCATCCGCTCGGCCCCCCTCGTCCTGACACCATGCTCTCCAGGAGGGAGTAAGTAGCGGCACTGCTGCTGACATCGCCTGTCCCGGAGGAACCATCCGATTTGTTCCGAGAGCCGGCGTTGAAAAAATCAATGACGTCGTCCAGCGAACAGTCCCCTGCCACAGAGAGACACTCCTCAACGTTAGCTTTGAACAACGCTGCTCGCCTCTGCCTCTCCTCTGGGGGGAGGAGGTCACAGAGGTGGCAGGAGGAGGCGAGATCGGCATGGCGAGGACCCAGGCATCCTTCGCAGATGTCGTGCCGGTCGAAACTCAGCATGTAGCCGGTCTTGCAGGACTGACACAGGCGGATGATGTTGGTGCTGGACATCATTGTTGAATCTCAGTGCTATACGCTTGCTGAAGAAAAATGGGAACCGATTACCCGCTCTTAGCGTAATTTATACGGACCGGGTGGGGCCCACACAACAGGTGGGCGTGGACTAATTTTTTCAGTGCGATGCTTTGCATGACGGGATAAACCCACCAGCGCTTTAAAGGGCGAAGCCTATACGAAATAGAACAGAGACGACTTGAGCAAACAATTCACTCGAGCTACCGACAAACAGGAAATGACGCAATACGTCTCACCACGAATGTGCAACGTCACACCACCATTATTAACTTGACTATGAATTTCTCTCACAGGGCTATTTTCAACCAGTATATAAATATCAATTTTATGAACTTTAATATTAATGTTATGAATTTTCTTTTCACTGGGGTACACTTTCATAAGAGAGCTTTATGTTTGAAAACCTCATGGAAACACATTTCCACACAGTGTTTCCCCTAGTTAGCTTGCCATGGCGGGGTGCTCATCTCATCCATGAATTTTGCTGATGGGGGGGGGATGGAGACATGTCTGAGCGCAGCTTGTACTAACAGTTTTTGAGTGGGGGCGGGTGGCGTTCAACGTGAGGGAAGAGGCAATGTGAGTGCTGCTTTGGGCTTTTTAGCTAGAGAGCCTGTATTTTGCGCCGCTACCTTTTAGTGATATGTCAGTGCCGGGTGGGGGTGGGAGGGGCAAGTTCAGTTTGGTAGGCGGGGTGCTCAGTTTTGTTGGCGGGGTGGGGTACCCCGCCTGTATAATGATAGGGGAAACACATTTCCACATGTCCAGTGTGTGATGCTGCAGCCATGACTGAGAAAGAGTCTGAGGAAGTCTCTTGGATGAGAGACGAAACGTTTCTATATTTTTTTGCTTTTTTTTTTTTTTTTTGAATGTCCAGAGGACCAGATTGAACTTTTTTGGAGAATGTATATAATTTCAGCTATCATACACTTACACTCTCCTCCTCATCATCCACTCCCTCATTCTCAGGCCTTTCCTCAGACTGCATGGTGACCCCATCATCGCCACAGTCTTTCTCTGTTGACCACAAAGAACATTACTAGTATTTAGATTTCAGATTTTAAAAGCAGAAAAGGCCAGTTGTGCATGAATAGATTTCATCAGCTCAATCATCTTTCTCTGGATCTGCTCCAAGACACGTGATCCATCTTCTGTTTAAAGCACAGATCAGCTCTGTAGTTACAGTGGACTTCTCCACCTTATAACAAGATGGGATTATCTTATCTAACAATTGGTCCATGGTAGGTGGAGTGTGATGGTTTTCACCATGTCCCTGCAAACATATAAACAAACATGTCACTGTTACTGTAACGTTAGCTTAGGATGGACTATTAATTAGCTTAGCTCTATTGTTGTTACCTAGCTAACCTAAATGTTGGTGATTCCACATCTGAAAAGGGATGCAACTTTTCACAATATATGCTGTAACCGTTCTGTGGCTCTCTTCAATCAATTAGTTGCGCCAACGTATTTCCCTTGGATGCTATTGTGAACGGAGGAGCACATCGAGGAGCCTGGCTAATATTATTAGCCATTTCAGGTCGTTTATCAATGAAAAAATACATGAGCTAATGTTAGCATGGTGTTTGTATTTGAGTTGACCTACCGCTTTAAGTCGAGTATAACTTGTTATCTGCCTTAATGTTGGTCTGAGACGTAGTGTATAGTTTTATTTACCTGATTCTGAGGGTCAGAGCTGGAGGAGGAGGCAGAGAAAATAGTCTGGTGGAGCGCTTCAAAGACAGGCCACTCTGTTACTTCTACACCCTCCTTTTCACGATATAAAATTATTGCAAGTGCTGCTCTGAGCCGACTGGTCATTTTGTTAAAGTTAAGCCATGCTTTCGATCATGGCTGCTCACTCTCCATGTATGCGAACACTTCTGGTGGATTCTTCATCGTTGGTTTTCGGCGGGCGGCTTCTTCTTCCGGTTGGCGGACTAGGAATCGAAAATAAATATTTCAAACGATTCCGGGAAAACCGGACAGTTAGTCCCGGTTCCAGTCGATTCTCAATCCTCGATGCCCAACCTTAGTCGGTTGTTGTGGATAAGCAGTATTTCTACTCCGAGTCTCTCCTGATAACTGAACTTCTCACCCTATCTCTGAGAGAGAGTCCATCTACCCTGCAGAGGAAACTCATTTCAACCCCCCATATCCATGATGTCATTCTTTCAGTTTGTGAGTGTAGGTGAGGGTAGGAACATAGATGGACTGGTGAACAGAGAGCTCTCTCTTCACCACAATGGACTGGCACATAGTTTGCAGTGCTGCAGACGCTGCACCAATCGATCTGTCAATTGCACTGATGTTTTTGTTATTTTATTTAAAATTGTATTAATCAAATTATTCTGCCAATAAAGAAAATTTCAGGAACTTTAAACTCTGCATGTAGCTTTAGTCCCAAGGAGAATGATTAGGCATATCTTAGGACATGTATATTATGTAAATTCATGCTTGTACATTATAACAATATAATAACAATATGTTATGTGTTGTCATCAGTGTATATTTTCATACAATGAAGACATTGGCTCTCTGCATTTAACCCGTCCACCCCCAAGTGGAGCAGTGGGCAGCTATTGAAAGCGCCTGGGGAGAATTGGGGTTAGGGTGTGCTGCTCAGAGACGTCATGAGATGTGCAATGACTGGGGATCGAACCTGGGACTTTCGGGTCCCGAGTCAGCTGCCCTGCCTCTACCCCATGTAATACAGTAATAGTATACAGAAAAGCAACAAAGCAAAAAGCTGAAGGAAAGTACCAGACAAAATGAAAGAAATCATAGCCTTGATTTGTACAAAGTATTTTAACTTTTTCAATCATTTTTTTCTGCCTGTAACATGTAGGCAAAAAAAATAAAATAATTTAATTTAGTATATTTTTTACTTTGTTTTTAAATCAATCTTTTGACTTTGTAATATTTCATTCAGTTACCTGTTTTAGTCATAAATACTCCTTTTAACGTTTCAGAGCATAAAGAATCTTTTTACTTTTGTTTTTATCTTTATAGAGAAATTAATTGGCTGTGTTGAACTTTCACATTTAGGCAGTCTTTGGCTTTCTGGTAGCTAACTTCAACTAACTAACATCACATTTAGCATCATTCAAAAGAATTGGCTTTAGATTTAATATTTGCATCTTTTGTACTGTACAACAAGCTGGGTGACAAGATGCCATGTTGGTAATATGATTCTTTTGTTTTCCTTTCTTTTGTTTCGGCAATGCAGGGGAAACACTTCACATGTTACTTAAGCTTTAACATGTCCTGACAGTGCTTGTGTATGTGTGCAGGTATCAGATGGTTTCAGAGGGAGCTGTTTGGATTAACCACAGTCGAGCGGACAACGCGGAGCAGGTACTGATACCTAAACTACACATCTTGTCCAACGGGCTCACCCTGCTCAGAGTGGGCAAAAGAAACTTCTACATCATCAAGTGGCTCAGTCTCTGAGGCTGTCAGGCCAGTGAGGTGTTACTGACTGGGAGCTAGGCAGCCAAACCTCAGCAAGATCAGTAAGATCTTTGATGGATTTACAAACTATTTTGGATTTGACGATTTCCTGTGTTGCTCATATAAATATGTAAATGTATAGATGTAAATGTAAAGCTGCAGTATTAAAGGCATTTGATAAAACAAATTTGCTCACTTCTCACTTTGTGCTGCAAAAGAGGTTTGCAAAGTGAACACGAGGGGGCGTCATTGTCTTTACAACCGTCTACAGGGCCTTTATATGCACCACTCATCATTAACCCTTAAGATCAACAAATTAAATATACAATACAATACAATACAACTTTATTTATAGAGCACTTTAAAACAACACAGATCACGCAGTTATTTTTTTACATGAGGCCATCTTACTACAGCTCTTTGTCCTTTTTTAAGCAGTGTAAGAGAAAAAAACAAACATTCACTTTAGAACCAACCAGATTTGTGACATTATGCGTAAATAGTAAATTAGTTTTCCCTATCAGATAAATAGTTTTTGAGGGTTGTTGCTGGTTCTTCTGTAAAGATATAAAACTTGTAGTTTTTTTTTTTTTTTTTTAAAGAAGCTTCTAAATTTAAGCTTGTTGATTTGTCATATTGTTTTTTGGGTTTTTTTGGTAGTTTTTACATTCATTAACATCTAATGTGTGATTCTTTCAGTTTAGTGTCGATCTGTGTTTTGGTGTTCCTGAGGGTCTGTCATTAAGTGGCATTTTATTAAGTATGATTTATTCATTTATTGACTATAATTAGGGTTTGGGAGTTTTAGTCCTAAATATTTACATATATATTTATTTTAACTTTAATGTATATGAAATGATAGCTAAACTGAAAATAAGTAATGTGATTAAAAATAAAGAAATGCACCCCAACATATTTTCTTGAATCTAAGGGGCAACAATTTAAGCAGCCTTTTATTCAGTTTAATTCATTTCAATTTATTTATGTAACACCAACAGAATTCATCACAGGGCACTGAACAGAAACATTCACATACATAAAAATCTGTTAATAATAGAGTTAATTAACATTTATCTTAATAACACCAATAACTTATGTGTAGTTAAATTAGTAAGTAGTTATGTTGGTTTAGGTCATATAAATTATATTTATAGTTTATATTGAAACATGGTATTTAATTGTGTTTTTGCAGTTTATAAAACTTTTCTAATAATCAACAGTAACTCTCAGGATCATTTAAGTAGACTGTACCTTTAAAAAAAAAAAAGAGTGGGCGGGTCTAATCGGCTGGCCAATGAGTGCTCTACGGATTGAAATAGCTCCACACGTCAATCATTTACCCCTCCCCCTTCCCTTCGAGTTAGCCTCACCTCTTCATCCACTACGTCTGTATCGCCATATTGGGACTGGGAGTTTTGTCTGATATTTCTCTCGGTACGTAGGGGAATTAACAGCGGCTCCAGTTCCTGTGTGTCTGTTTTGATGATTCGCGGAGACTATCTTCGGCTCCAGGACACCGCAGCCGTTAGCGCTTCCAAGTCGACGTATTCATGGCGCCATAAGTCGGATTTTTTTTACGTCTGTTTCGGATCTTTACCCCGGCCCGTGACGAGGACATACCCGTTGTTGTTGGGGTTTTTCCCCCATTTTTAAACCGTGTTTTTCTTATGACAACTAGACGCTCTCTGCTGCTCAGTAAGTGTCTTTTTCGGAGGTGGAAAAAAAATGTCAGGTGTCCGACTTTCAAACGGGAGCCCGACGTTAGAGCGGACGGAGTCCCGGGTGACGGAGCACCCGAAGCCGTCAGCCTGCAGGAACCTGTTCGGCTCGGTGGACCACGAGCAGCTGAACAGGGATTTTAACGCACACATGCGGGAGCTGGAGGAGGCCGCCGCCGCCAAGTGGGGCTTCGACTTCGTTAATGACAAACCGCTGGCCAACAATGGGAGGTTCAACTGGGAGCTGGTGGAGTCCAACGAACTCCCGGATTTCTACCAGCGGTCGCCGCGGAGGGAGCCGGGCGGCTACTCTGGGAGTCTGAACGTGGATCTTAATGGGAACCATCGCTGCGTCCGGGTGGTTCCCAGCGAGGACACAGTCAGGTCTGACGGTCAGACGGAGTGCACCGGCCTGAGGAAAAGAGCTGCGTGTCACGGTACGAGCTCCCCGCAGACATTACAAGTGTCAGCTGTGGTCCCGCGTTGCTCTGAGCCTATTTTCGTTTTATTCACGAGCCGTGCTCCTCTTCCAGAGCCCTCCACCCAGAGGAAGAAGTCTCACCCCAGCCCGGAGGAGGTCAGCTGCTCCAGCCTGAGCCATTCTGTAGAACACACACCCAGAAAGCCCAGTCCCAAGAGACCAACGTGAGGACGGAAACACGGTAAGAAAAACCGGGATAATTCGTAAACAAGAACATGAAGAAGAAGAATCCGTCAGTTTGCTGCAGTACAAAATGTAGCCATCTGTTTCCAGCTGTGATCTTTAAAGGGCAGCTGCACATCTGACAGTCATTTTTTGCTCTTCTAGTTTAAACATCTCCAATTTCAAATGAAATGTTTTCTAACTGCATCTAAAATAAGTGTGTAGCTTTGATATTGTACAATTTGGTGTGTGTATCCATATTAATCTGCCACACCTACCCCGTCTTTGGTAAAACAACTAAAATCCCCCCATTTTTACAGTACTTTTTTAATACATGGTTTAAAAAATATTTAAATAACTTCAGCTGAGGTCAATACGGCAGAAGCTAAAGATAAAAAGGAGTGAAACCCACAGCCGGACCGTTGTTAAAAAGTGTTTTAGCTGTTTGACAGCAGCAGTTTCGGTGTAGTTTCCTACTAAGGTGTAAACAAGTGGTGAACAACAGTGTAGTAGTAACACGTCAGCAGCCACTGCCCTCAGCTGCAGAGCAGGGAAGGGGCTGGTCTGAGAGCTGTTCCATTACACAGCTGTTTCTGCAGGGACAAAGACCAGCACAGCTAACAGCAACTAGGCCACCATAATGGGAGGAATCGGGGATTTAAACCCTCCTTCCAGTGGCTTTATGGGAGGTCTAAAATCTGCAGATGATAAGAATATAATCGCATTTAGTTTTGTAATAAGTAAGAAGTAAAGTTTAGGGATCTGCACAATAGTTGACTGATTTATGATGATAAAAAAAGAACATGCCAGCTGTTGGTTAATCCATATTTTTCTATTAAATTAATGACAGAATCTCATCAAAGTTTTATGTATATATATATATATATATATATATATATATATATATATATATATATAATGATATATACACACACAAGGCATGAAGGCATGTGTGTTTAAAACAATAATAAATTTTTGCAACATTACCTAAAACAGCATTCCCTCTACATTTTTTGTATAATCCTTTTAAAATATATATACTCTTAAAACGGAGGTCCATTTTTAATAGAAATTTTAAATATAATTTAAAACTATAAGCTGTCATTCCTTTTGCTAAAGTTGTTGCAAAATGTTTTCTCCATGTTAACTTGGCCGCCTTTCTTTCTCTCTACATCCTTTTGTTGTTCACCACAGAGCTGAAGATGCATTTCCCCCCTCATGTTTATTTTATTTTTTTCCACGGGAGACCATTTGTTGGCTGAGTCTGGGCGAGGATCTGCGCATCAACAGAAACATATCAGCTCCCCTTAAGACTGCGGAAGGACGCTGTTGAAGCACTGAATAGAAACACTAAAGTTGTGGCACTCAGTTTAAAAATGTTACTGCCTCTAACAGCAGCTCATGTAGCAGTGTGCAATTAGGTTTGACTTCCTTTTTTGCTCCTTTTTTTTTTTACTACCTGTGTGTAAATAATTTAATTAAAAATATATATATTTCTCCAAATGTAGCACATAAAAATACGATTTTAAAAACAAAGCCTTTGTGTAGAAAGGTATGAATTTTGATTTGACTTGAAGTATTGCAGTGTAGTCTTTCAGAAGAGTTTTTGAAAGGCAGCGTGAGGTTGTCCCAGTCAATAATTGCTACACTTTAAAAGAAAATCATGGTTTTTTTTTTTTACAGTTTCTGAATGGTGTGCCTTCACTCCGTCATCTTCCCAACTCAGCAGGGAAGAATGGTACAAATGTGGCTCATTTATTGTAATTTTTTTTTCTTTTTTTGCAACAGTAAGCTCTTTTTTTTTTAAGAGCTGAACTCAGAAAATAACACAGGAGATGTAACAATTCTACAAAGTGTTCCAGATATTTATTTTCTATTGCAGATGCTTTCAGCATCGTTCAGGCTTTGTTTGATTTTCGTGACATTTGTGCACCTCAGCTACATCATTAGACTTTTCTCCTCCCTCGAGCTGTGAGGTACTCCAATATGGAAGAACAAGAACCTTCATTTTCTGTTCTCCGTGACTAATCATGTTTCTTCTACCGCTCCTCATAGAGGTTGTCTTAAAAAAAAAAGGGCCAATTTTCTACAATACCAAAACTCATGGTTGCTTTTCCAGTTTCTAATTGCTGTGCTTCTAATTTGACTTCACATTGTGTTTCTTTGTAATACCGTAGACGCTTGTGCTTTCTTTCCCCTCCATTATTTGTAAGCCTGCTGAGGATGCATGTGTAGGCATCAAAAAGCTTCCTTTATTTTGCCAAACGTTTGGGTTGTATTTGAAGAAACTAGGGAGACAAACAATGGCTTGTTCAGAAACGGCGCTCATGTCTGTGTAGTTGTATTTTGCAATGTACTTCATATTTTGTTTAAAAAAAACAACAAAAAAAAACAAACAAAACACTGTAAAATTAACTTATTTATGTTGAGCTTTGTATGTAGAATTAAAAGAAAATGGGTTTTTGATTACGGTTATATAAAGTGGCATTTGTGATTTTTTTTTTTTCCCTTGTAAATTTTATTTTGTTAAAAGCATATTTTATTTGGTAGTATGTTTTTCCTTATGAATAAGGTTGCAAACTGAGCCTGGTAAATATGTTTTTTCTAATGTGTGGATTAAAAGATGTTGCAATCAATTAAAAGAGAAATGAAATCTGACTTGTTGCTTTTTACACCAAGTATGAAGTGCTCTTATCTTCCTTTGTGCTTATTCAACTCTGCTTAGCTGAAGAGTGCAGGTGGATGTTACTGTCAGTGCTGTTTACAGCACCTGTGTAAAGCAGTGACGTTCTCTAAACGTCTGACACAATTTGAGGCCTCATGATTGACAGGATGGTCATCCAACGAGAAGAGGAGAAGAAAGAACAGACCACTGTCTGCAGCCAGTAACCTTCAGCCTCAACACAACCCACCTGGCTGCAAAACAAGTAACAACTACAAAAAATAATTTTGATTTATTTTACTGACCATAGTATTGTGTGTGTGTGTGTGTGTGTGTGTGT